TTGATATGCTGCAAAAATAAACCTCCTAACTCTGCATCCTCTTCAGAAATCACCCAGGTTAAAGGCTGGAAGTGATGGACTCACCGTGTATCGACGGGAACAACAGGTGACGCCGACGTCTCTTTCACTGTTGGGTTTTTTCAGCCACAGTCGGTGCCTGTGCGCCCTCCCATATCTGAGCTCCACGTAATGGTTACATCGTGATGTTACTGGGTAGGCTGGAGGGAGACGGAGCCGTGTGTTTATATACGTCTGCTGCTCGGTAGAAGACAAGGAGGAGGCGGGTCGCTGTGGAGTGACGACCGCGAGAGGAGGCCAATGGACGCGGATTTTTTTCAGACCTTGTTAAGGGTGCGGCCCAAATTACATTATATGAAGGTTAAGGATGCATATGAATAAAACATACGAAGGCTGAGAATATAGGCTACATCGATGGAAAGCACCTGGGTTTCTATTTAAGGAATCAGGCTTGATTACTGTAGGAATAAACCAGTGCAATTTTATGCTATTTTAATCTGACCGAGGAAACACCTCATACACACACACACACACACACACACACGCACACACACAAATCCTAAATGGAAATCATGCGTCCCAAGAGTGGAAAAGACTTCACCTGAGCTCCTGTAGTGAGGAGCTCGAATGTAATTGAATTAAAGCTGAACTGTGAAATCAAGATTCAGCATCTAATTAATCTGCAATGGAAACAGCAAGAGTGAAATGTTACATGCCAGAGGGCTGTGGAAGCTGCACAACTGTAAAATAAATAGTTTTGAAAAAACAACTGGCAATTTATCCTCCTGTGCAAATACATTCACACACTCAGATTTATGCATGTTTCCATGGTTTGTTCAGTCAAACTAACATCATATACAGTAAATACACTCAGGCAAAACAAGTGGTAAAAGGGTATGTAGGCTACAAAAAGAGCATGTATAAAAATGCATAATAAAATAATGGATAAATAAAACAGGAATGCTATCAGCACCACAAACGATGTATACCATTGTGAAAATACCATTTAAGTCTCTTATGGACAATTACAGCGCATTAGTCAGTTTGTTCTGTAGGTAGGTGTTGCACAACCTCTGTGTCATGACGCTAATTCTTTTCAGTCTTTATAAAGAAGAGAGGAAGCTAATTAAAAGAAAGGTTTGCGGGATTAGGGAGCTCTGAAGATACATTTTTCCATAATTGAATGGTGTAAATTTCAACAATGGATGGCTTTTCTCAAAGCTAAAGTCATCCATCAGTTGTAGCCCAGATAGCATTGTCTCCAAAACACATTAACCGGATGTACATACACTACATCAGAACTCCCTCGATGTAAGATTTTGTCTATTAAGAGAAAGTGTGTCGGACAAAGCACAGAACTAGACACGAGTCTGTTCAGCAGTTCAGGAGATGATAATCAGACTTCGTGTTTGTGGTGTTCACTCACAGTGCCACTCAGTTTTTGGCCTCCTCAACATTTTGGCAGTAGTTGTAGGCTGGTAAAGTACAAGAGAGTGATTTATATTTGCATCTTTTTTAAGTCTAAAAGCTTCATGTTTTGGTTTAAAATTGCTGGTTTAACATTATTAGATTTATGTTCAGGTGCAGTTGCCAACAGTAATTGGAGTCTTACATTTGCATGACCTGAGCAGCACTGTCAGCAGAGGTGTAGTCCTAGTGATACTAACACTTTTTTACCTTTACCATGAGTAAAATTAAATTTGAAGATTTGACTTTTGATGTTTGTAGGTGGTGAAAAGTTTTGCCTTAGGATCACTTATCACAGCAACAATACCAATGTTTAGTAAGCATCACATTATTAAAAAGCTTTGTCAGGAGTTAGACACTTAGGTGGCATCTGCCTTATGAAAGAAGTCTCTAAGGATCCATACATTTACACAGTCTTACAAAAATATGAACACTATCAGCAAGCAGCCAGAATTATTGGAAAAACAAAATTTGTACAAAAACATAAAGGATCCTGTTCAGAATTTAATGTCAGTCTTATGTTGTCTACATTTCAGTGCTCCATACAAGTATAGAAGTGTACTCCTCGCAAGTATACGTAGCCCATGGTGATGTTAGTTTTCAATTTATAGTGACATGCAAAGAAAAGGAAGAAACTCTTTATATTTGCAAAGGTTTATATAGTATTTTTACTAAACAGAACTGGAACCCACTTATTTTATATTAATCAATAGCATCTTTACGGCAGGGCTGAGTTTCCCTCCCAAGAACAACAAAGACAATAAATGGCACCATGACAAGGATGTGTCAAGACAATCAGCCACTACCGAAGCTTTATGTTCTGTGATCCCTTTTTTATTTTTATTTATTTATTTATTTTTTACTTTTCTTTTTCTTGTTTTTTTTTTTTTTCCAGTGAGCTATTTAAATCATAGCATCGTCTCTTACACCTGCTGGTTGGCATCTCGTTACAGTTTACAGGCTGTGAAAAAACACCCTCCCCATCCCCCATGTTATGAATGCAAAGGTGCTGCTGGGGTGAGTGACTAGTGTCTATTTGTGAATAAGGCACATGAGTGACCCTCTCTGTGCTCTGTTCCCTCTGACAAAATGACCAAAAAGGAGCCTAGGTGGTTGCAACTATTAGTTATCACAAAGGCCTTGTTCCTTTGATATCCCTGTAGGCTGGTTATCAATGCAACTCAAGAGTCGGGCTTAGTGAGGAACCTGGGGGAAGATCATGCTCGCTGTGTTGTGAGGCTTTAGTTGTATAACGAACATCGCACTCTGTGCCTCTTGATAGAAACATCAGGAGGTAGGATTATGCATATTAGTGATCCCCCTCTGTTCTCCCCTCTGCTTTCAGGGCTTAATGTTAACATGTGGCCACCGAGGGCCACAGATGAATGTCTTCCTTTCAGATGATTTATCTGATCACTATAATGTACCATGCATGTCATTTAGATGACATTATAATGGAGTTTGGAGGGGAGAGAGGCTCGGTGTTGATAGAAGCTGAGTCATATAGGCCTACAGTACCTGATCGTCATCACACAGAAAAAAAAACACTTCACGCTAAAGACCTTTAGTTTCTGAAGTTACAAAATTAATTGCGGTATTTGTCATTATTTTGTCTTTCCCTCCTTAAATTCAGTCTCAACTATGGATGATTTCTGCTTTCTCTCTGTAAATATGTCAAAAACACAGGAGCAGAATCATTCAAGATCCCTCCTTTGCTTCATGTATTTAGTGCCTCCAACTGTTGTTTACACTGATAAAAAACCATTTGCTGTTTAAATGTGTAAGAGTGAGTTTGGATAGGCCACAGGGCACAAGCAGAGGTGTGGGAGCTTTTGGAGGCGGTGAACATTTGTTATTTTTCATGCTCTGGGTCAAAACTATGTTTGCGTGGGCTGGACTGGTAATATGATAAAAATTTACAGACTTCCAGGGAACAAGGTGAAGCCACAGGGTGTTTTCAGGCTGTTAAACACTCTCCCTCTAACAAATGTGGACTTAAACTGAGGATGACGTGGAACCAGATGCCTTGTGGGGATGTTAGCTGCCTGTAGGGATGTTTAACCTTCCTCATAGCCTGTTATATAGGCAGTCAACGGTAGTGGTGGGATATCCCTCTGGTGATCTGATTCTCACCTTTAAGGTAACATGGTTAAGGTTGATTGTATGGGTGTGGTAGCAGCAGTGTAGGACTGAATCACTGAATTGGAAACTGCTCATAGGATGGCTCCCTCTGGTGTTCACTTTCCATTTGAACAACACAAGAAGCCACATCTGCTGAAAATCCTTCAGACAGGCGACAAAAGGAGAAATCCAAATTGTTCTGTACAATATGTAAACTGTGTGAATTATATGCTACAGCTTTCGTAGTTACCATGACTCAACCCAAGTGAACACCTTGGAGATGGACTGATGTTATGACATCACCATCAAAACACCAAGTGAGGCACTATTTTTCAGAAGAACGCTTCAGAGACTTAGCCAAGGAGCCCTGAATCCGTTATGGCAGCTCATGGTGGCCCAACGCCTTTCAAAGACACTCAGTGTTGGTTTTCCTTTTACAATTTCACCCATTGGTAGTTATTTCTCTCAGTATGAAGAGTATTGTTGAGAGCGAATATATGACTGACCTCCAAATTTTGGGACACCACAAAGCATTGCTTTCTAATAGCAAAATATAACAGTATACAATTCATCTGGAACTCTTAACAAGCTCTTTAAAAAGTAAATAGAAAACAGCAAAGAGATTTAAATTTAGTCAAGAAAAACTTTCTTTTATCAGCCGTTACAGGACAAGTCTAGTGAAATTCTATATGAATTCTTGAGTTATCAGTCATGGTGACCTTTGACCACCAAAATCTGATCAGTTTAGCCTCGAGTCCAAACATTTGTGCAAAATTTTAAGAAATTCCCTCAAGATGTCACTGAAATATCATATCCAATTTCCATCAGTCAAATGTGTTTTCTGAGGATTTTCTGAATACCTCCAATTCCTAGCTGTTTGGGGGGATTTTTTTTTTTTTTTGCTTTCTTTTCAAAAAATGGGTATCCTACATGTTTGTGAACCATTGTTAAAGATTTTCATGTTTGGTAGAAATAGGTAGGGAGACTGACTTACAACCTGGTGGTTCACAGCAAGACAGATTTTCAAGATGTCCACTCTTTGGTAGTGGTATAATAAAACAGCAGCGACAAAAGGGTAGAAGATATGGTCATTTAATTGTTGATTATCTCTCAGTACAGAAATATTTTTCTTTTTAACATTCTTTCTGTAATTCAAGTTGGCAGCATTGTCTTGATTCTGAAGTGGCATTAAAAGAAATTTCCACAGAGCTTAACAGTGAAACTGCCCATCAGCTTCCCTCCGATAACATTAGTAAACAAACACGCCACCTCTGTACGAGACCCTTTCACAACACAAATAAATAGCATTCATTTAAATGTGGCACGCTAGCTGACTCAAACATTCAAACAGGGGGAAGAGAAAACAAAACTGGGAGAGAATGTTGCAGATATGATTTTTTTTTTTTTTTTTTTTTTTTTTTAGATAAAAAAATACAATAGCATGACTGCTCAACACAGAAATGGTCTGAAGTAGCAAAAGACAAGTGCCCCAAGCTTGAATATCTTAGCATACACAGCACAAAGCAGAAGCTCTGCACAGACCAGCATTACACTGTCTGGTTTATTCCCAAATGTTTTTACTGTTACAAACCGCAAAGATAAACCAAAGTGTTTTTGTTTTCATTTTTCCTCGCCTGAGTTTCCATTTAAGAAAGTAAGGAAACAAGATGAGTGAAAAGCTTCCACACAAATCACATTAAATTCTTCTAATTTTCTGTAAGCAACTGATCTAATGTGCAGTGTTACCAAATAGTTATTTTCTTCTACGATGTGTCGACTTTTCTTGAGAAATGATGAAACAATATTTGCCAATACTGCTTAATATCATTAGAGTAAAATGAACTTGTAAAATATAAAGGAAAAGAGAGATCAGGCCCATTTGCCCAACTTTTGTTAATCATCAACAGTTGTTAGACTGGCACAGAATTATGAAATCTGTTATCAGTGTACATGAAACATGATATACCCCTCCCTAAAATACAAAAAGACAAGCTTGGATTTTTCTGCAAACCTGAACAAAGCCAAACATACTCCACAGATCAGCCCAAAAACTGCAGTTACACACATAAAAGGAAATCTACCAGCCTTCAAAACAAACACACTAATAAGAGTATGTGTTAAAAATTATGTAAAAAAAACAAAAAAAAAAAACAAACAAAAATAAATAGACAATCAAAATGACAAACTCAATATTTGGCAGGTATGCACAACATCAGTCTGTAAACAAAACATAATCACATGGGGAAATGACGCCCCAAATTCTCCTCCTCTTCAGAGATCTCTGGTCTGTTGGAGGAGGCAGTGGCTCCATCATTATTCAGGAGAAGGTGGAATACTGTATGTACTGTAAGTCCCCTGCCCTCGACACTCAGGCCGTGCATCTCTCCCGCTCCTCTCCACCTCCAGCTACAACTTGGCTAAATAAACTAAGGGCAATCGAGGGGTGCCCTCTGTAGACTACTGAGGTGAATGCTCAAAGACGGGGCCCATTTACAGCTTGATACATGCAAAGATAAATTCCCCTCCCGGCTTTATTCCCTCATAGTACAGGGGTGCGCTTACTACCGGATCCTCGTGAAGAGGTTCAGTACTGACACTGACTCCTAAAGGAGGGAGGGAGACAGAAGACGGTAAGAGAAAGACCACAGACAGATAATAAAACTGTAATACGGTTTTTGAAATCAAATTGAGGCAAATGTAACAAATAGAGTGAATATAGATACAATAAAATTTTTTTTAAAAAAGACCAAGAACTAAATATAAAAACAGAGAGTAAATACCTTAGTGGATCTCATCTTGCTAAAGACGTTCCAGAACCGAAGTGTTTCATCTCCAGCCCCCGTCACAATGGCCTCTCCATCAGGTGACATTGCCTGCACAGAACTCATTATTATACACTGAATATGCAGCATTTAAAGGTGTGTAATTGGTGAAGAGTCTTTTCATGTGTGCGCTCATGAATGCTTAATAATCAAAAACATTCGGAAATGTATAGCTTGGTTTTTGCTCTGACATGCATCGTCAGCTGTGAGACCTCATACAGACAGGTATGCGCCTTTCCAAATCATGTCCAATCAATTGAATTGACCACAGGTGTGCTCCAGTCAAGGTGTAGCAACATCTCAAAGACGATCAAAAGAAATCGGTGACACCTGTGCTAAATTTCAACAGTCATATGTGATGTGATGGTGTCCATGTGATATTTCAGTTTTTACTTTTCAATAAATTTACAAAAATTAAAATAAAATTCAGATTTTGCTTTGTCATTATGGGGTATTGATTGTAGATTGAGGAGGTTTGGTTTATGTGTCTTATCCAGGAATGTTTTAGCTGTTACTCTGGGTCAATGTCCTGCAGACAGACTTATATCAAAACACACAGTATACTGACCAGGTAGAGTACTCTGTAGGAGTGTCCTGTAAGTTTGGCCACTTGCGTTAGAGAGGGATACTTCCACACCAGGATCTGATTCTGGGAATAACCATGGGTGCTGACCTGCAGGACAATTATACACAGCTTAGCTAAAGAATTGGAAGCAAGGTTGATGCAAATAACAATTAACAGAGCAACTCAAAAGTGAAACAATCCTGACAGCTTCCAACAACTCCAAAATTGTGTGCACAGCTGGCACTTTTACTATGAAAACACGATATACAAAATGCTATGTGCAGGCTGTAGAGTAGTAAAACAGATTTTAGTCTTCACATCTGACTCCAGATAAGATGGTGAACAAGCAATTTCCCAAAAATGTACTTTTCCTTTCACTTTCTTCTTTTATCATAAAACAATCTGCATTGTTTTAACTCTGCAATTACTTTGCAGCAGCACTGTCCAAATCAAAGACATCAGGTGACTCACCAGCTCGTTAGTGTGCTTGGACCAGGCCAGGTTGCAGACTTGAGAGCCAGTGTCGGTGCATTGCAGCGGCTGTCCTGTCAGAGTGTTCCAGAAGCGGATGCAGCGGTCTGCGGTGCCGCCTCCAGAGGCCAGCAGGCCGTGTTGGTGGGGAGACCAGGCGATGGCCTTCACTGCAGCCAAGTGCTCTGTGTACTGCTGCACCGGGAGGACGCTCGAGTGGTTCCACACGAGCAGCTGCAGACAGCAGGTTGAAACAACAAGAGGAAGAGGAAAAAGAGTGTGAAGTACGTTTGTGACGATTTATGAAAAAGTGGTCCTGGTACAGATGTGTAGCTGACAGAAATGACGGTGAGATTCTCTGTCTGCATACCTTGTTATCATTTCCACCGGAGGCTAGCAGCTGGTGGTCTGTGCTCCACTTGAGCCCGCAAACTTCCTGTCTGTGTCCTTGGAGACGGCGCTCAGACTGGAGAGGCGGGGCTCTAATGTCCCTCTGCAGGATCACCCGATCACGGCTCCCAGACGACAGCTGGTCCGCATTCCATGCCAATGCACCTGGCAGCAGAGAATGAAATGCAGAATCAAAGGAGGATGACTCACTGACCGTGAATGAGAAATGTTGCTAAACAACTGTGAGAAAATGAATGAAAATAGCGATATTTCAACTCCTGACACTGTCTCCGCCTTTGTCTTTACAGCGTCTTTCAACTCACCCACTCTGGCTGTGTGTCCTTCTAGTACGGACAGCTTCTTCCCCGCTGCTGCATCCCAGATCTGTACGTAGCCTTTATGAGTCCCCACTGCCACAAGGTTTCCCTAAAAATAGACAGCACACTTTGAATATTACACTGAGGTATGAAGAGTCTGTTATGACTTCAAAAAAGGATTTGTCACAAAAAAGGAACAGGAGATTGTTAAAGGTTAAAACAGAACGAAAACTCAAATTGCATATTTATTGAACATCAGGTGACGCAGTTGACAAAAAATGGCTCAAATTGTCTGGGTTCTGTCAGGTTTCTTTAGGTTAATGTAACCTGACAACAGTTTGTAAAGATGGAAACAGAAAAACTCACCCTCTCTGACCAACCCACTGATGTTACTGAATCTCCTTCTACAGAAAGGTCACAGAGACGTGTCACCTAAAGAGATGGAGAGTTAACATGAGCATTGAAGAGGCAGTTCAATTACATTTTAAGAGTATTTTGGTTAATATGTATGGCAGACAACCAGTGAAACCCCTAACTGACTGATCCAGTGTGATTAGAAACATTATTTGAGAGAAATTTATACTCTTCTATTGTCTTTAACCAGGGTGAAGACCACTGCTCCAGGCCTCTGTGTCTCTTTACTTTGCTCAATGCAAACAGATCACACACACACCTGGCTGGTGCAGGCACTCCACAGGTAGACGCAGGTCCCCAGTCCAACACTGAGCACATTCAGGGACGACCAGTCCACTAGGTTGAGGTAGAAGTCATCCTGTAGCTCTGGAGCATCCAGAACTTTGAATGGAATTTTGGATATTTTGCGTGTAGGTTTTCTTGGCGACCGTAGCAGTTTCTGGCTGCAATGCACAACACAATATAGTGAGGGATGCTTTTCTCTTTCCGTCCTCAATGAAAGAGTTAACATAGCAAGGGAAATGTATTACCTGTTACTACTAACAGGTGATAGAGAATAAGGAGATACTGTGTTTCCATCCTCTTCTGGCAGAGCCCTCTTAGTACTAACAGAGTACTACAAACACAAACAGATGATTACTTATGCAGAAAAAAAAAACACTATAAATACTAGTATAATAAAAGTTACAGATATGTTAACCGTTTTTACACTAAAAAGGCTCCTCTTGGCAGGAGTGGATGGCTGTAGACGGCGGTCTTCTGACTGGGGGTCCTGGACTTTCTCGATACCTGCTCCTAGCAGCTCGTTCTTCAGCAGAGCCGAGTAAGCCAGGCCATCCGCTGAAGGCAGAGGAAGCGAAGGGGGAAAATCAAACCAGGCTGTCGAAATGATTAAGTTCAAACACCGTGCTCCCTCTGCAATTTCTTAGCTCCTCTCTCACATCTCTAAAGATCAGGGAGATTTTTTCACTAAACTTTGTTTAGTCCTTATCTCCAGTTTCCATGAGCCTGCCCAGGCTTAGTAAACAAGAGAAGGTCAAATTATCAAGTTTGACTGGAGCAGACAGGGATGCCTGTGGAAATGAGCTGAAAAGGGGATATAACTCTCACTAAATCTCCAGTGAGAACAGAGAGGAACATATGTGTTTGGGGTGAGAGTCACAGGGTAACTTATGATAAATCACTATCACAATGATTTCTGTAAGCTAACTACCAATCATAATACAGGTTATTCTGAAATCACAACAATTTCACCATCATCACAGTGGCTATGACACTGAGGAGAAAAAAAACCCCTGAAACTGTGTCTATATATATATATAGATTGATAGATATATAAAGAAGAACTCATTACCTTTGTTGCTGTCTGTCGTGCCATCTTTGGTTTTCCTATTTTGATTGTGCGACTTTTCAATTTCCTGTCAGAAAACAAAATTAAAAAAATGATCATTGTCAACTAAATAGGTTAAACAACTACAGATACATTGATGGAAAATGATAATACATAATGATTCTTTGTAAGCAATAATCAACACTTCCATCCTGAGACCACTGTTCTTTTGGTAGGAAAGACAGTGAAGTCCTGGGTGTATTGCAGCAGACTCACATTGATGCGGTGGAAGTTGACGCTCCAGTTGGCTCCGGCCCGGGAGGGAATGAAGCGATCACCGTGCTTGCTAGGGGAGGACAGGGGGGAGCTGGTGGGTGTCAGAGCTCGCACTGCTCCTACAGCTTTCTACACAAGGGAGGAGAGGACAAAGCATTTTCTGACTGGCGACCAAACACAAACAGGCCTTGGACAATGATTTGAAACTTAACAACAAAAGGAAGATAATTTAGGTGGCAGATGGTGCATTTGTTCAAGGTGTTACCAACAGGAGGCAACATTCACAAAAACCCAGTCATTTGGCCAGTAAGGTCTTGTTTTCACTCAACACTAGCAACACTGTCAAATGGAAGAGACTGGCCCATTAAAGCATATATTCTGCCAACACATGGAGAGTAACACCCTCTCCGCCCATTTTAAGTCCTTCGCTACTTAACAATCCTCTTTGGGAGGGGCTATAATCAATCATGCTATAGTCAAGATGATGACTTAATCATACTAGTCAAGGCCATATGACTTTTTTACTTTATGGTCCTGTCTGGAGGATCTACTGGTTCAAAGGAAATACAGCTTATTAATGACAAGTACAGGGACATAACAGACAAAAATATACAAGTGTGTCTATCATTTACTTACTATGGGGCTTGCATTTTCATTTTGGATGTTTATCTGCCTGAGCAGCCTGCACTCATAGTCCTGATCCATGATGCCTAAAAAAACAGGATAACACAAAACTGATCAACACAATCATAAAATCATACATACAGTTTTTGACTGGACATGTTGGATGGCATTTTGTCTGATTTAGCACTAATGTGTCAGAAAAAGGTCTACCAGTAATGTAGTAAAGTATACACTTCTGAATGAATAAACAACTGTGCTCTACTGATAACTAAGCCTACTTAGTTCATAAATGACTGATGAACGAACTAATACATAATGTTGCCGTCTAGCACTGCAAGTAGTTATTAGTCTTTATCAATCACTTTATCTAGTTTTTTTTCAATTTATCTGCTAGTTGTTCCATCTATAAAATGTCATGAAATAATAAGTGATGTTTTCAAAAAGCTTGTTTTCTTAACAGTAGGAAAAGAAGACAGCAAATGGTCACATTTAAGAAGCCAGATTCTGCAAATGTTATGTATTTTTGCTTGATCAGTCACTTAAACAATGAGTGGACTGTGAAAGTTTTTGCTGTTAGTGTTCTGTAGATAACAGACAAGTCACAGCATTAAAAATAACCAAAATAACCAACCTTCCAGCATTCGGGACTATGCTAATGCTACCGCTAGCTCAGCTGACCTAACGAAAGATAAGCTAGCTGCCCGGCTAATGCATTAGCAACATTGTTTGTTCACAATCTACACTCGTATTAACACCTACTTTGCCCCGATAACCTCTTCTCGTTACGCACCGTTGAATCGGTTTTCTTCTCGGAGTTAGCTCCAGTTGAAATGTTTTGTTTTGTGCCTTTTACTCTTAAAAACAGAGCATATAAGATAGAAATGTTTTTCTTTTGCCGATCGTTCAATTTGGGTTCGCTAAGCACCACGGGAAGGATGTGACGTCGCTGTTTTTGAATCACACATTTTGCGTTGCTAAGGAAACGTGTCTCTTTCTCTCTCATTGTCTCTCTCTCTCTATCACACACACGCACACGTATGCTTTCAGTTCAGTAAACGCGTTTTTCTTGTTTAGCGTTAAATTAGAGCCCTGTGGCAACAGTATGAAGCACTGTGTGTAGGTTTAGGTTAGGTCAGGGGTAGGCATTCAGTTGTGATGATGGTTAAGGTTAGGGTTATGTGTGTGTGTGTGTGTGTGTGTGTGTGTGTGTGTGTGTGTGTGTGTGTGTGTGTCTACCTGGATCCCCATCATACCTGTGGGATCCTCGACAGCTTTATGTGGACCAAATTGACGTTTGAGAGTTAGGATTAGGGTTGAGGGCAGGCATTTAGTTGTGATGGTTGAGGTTAGGCTAATGGGCTGGAGAATGTATTGTGTCAATGACGGGTCCCCACGAATATAGTAAAATAAACGTGTATGCGTGTGTGTTAACACAGCAATTAATTTGAAGTGGCACACTTCTGATAAACTAAGATCGTGTCACACAGGGATATATCTATAAAGGTAACAGCTGTTTGTATTTATCAATTTTTAAGCATCAATCTTTTGTTTTATCTACTGATTCATCCTGCACACTTCATCCTAAGTGTTACATACAGTGCAGAGCAACATGGGCTTTTATATCACTGATGGTAGCTGTTATATTCAATCTATGTGACAGATACAAGTTGCAGACATTTTGAAACCATCACTCACAGCAGTTGTACTGAATTATTGAACTGGCCATGAGTGAATCCACATATTTAAAAATAACATTTTGGTGTTAGCAAATGTTTTCATTTTGGTTAATAGATAATTAATAGATGACACACTACAGGGATTTACAATATCTTTCAAATGGCTTTATTAGTAAAAAAAAAAAAAAAAAGAGATACCAGTAAAACAAATACAATCTAACATTAAGTAAAACAGACTAAACACATCTGATGTGCAAAAAGTTTTAAAACAGGAGACACATTAAATAACATATCCTGCTTGTGAGTAGACACCTGACCGCTGAAATAAATATTTCACCAATCTGCAGGATACAGCGATGCCTTATCGTGAAATGTGATTAAGCACAAAATTTGAACTGACTATTACCCTAAACTGACAAAGAAGTTGGTGTGATATTTTAAAAATCATGTCAAGAGTCTTGTTTCCAAACATGGTCCAACAGCTTACCTAAAGGAATCAGATTCAAAGTGCCACAGAAAAGGTACAGTAGGTTCAAGTAAATTATTGAAATTCTAATAAAAAAAAAAAAGGACACCCAGTAAAGTAATATGTGCAAAAGTATAGCTTTTAAAACTAAATATTCTAAATCAGATGGCTGATAAATACATACAGAGACCTCTAAAAATCTTCTTTCTCATAAACAAAAATGGAGAAAAATGTGGCTCAACTGAGCAGATCAAAGGGCTCATGCAGTTCATAAAAGGACAGTAAATACTGCCAAAGGTTTTCTAATGATGTAATGATCCTGCGCTTCTTCAACAGTGTGCACTTACTTGATTAACATTAATTTTAACAAATGTTCATATGTCCAGGATTGATAAATCTTGTTAAACACAGTCATGCTAATATTACTAATAGCCCTGAAAGAAAGTCACAGCCCCAGCTCTACAGCACATAGACGTCTAAATGTACAGCTTGTCCAGCAGAAGACAGAATAAAAGATATTTTACACAGACAACTGATGAACTAAGGCAGAGGTCTGAAAATGAAATGGCATGTAAAATCCCCTAAACTAAAAATAAGACAGTGTTGATTTTTCAAAAGCCCCGCATTACCTGTAAGAACTGACGATGACTATGAGTTATCACTTTGCATGGCCTCAGGTACCCTGCTTATAACATATGCACAAGTCTGGGTCTAAACTCAATACATTCAAAGCAGTGAAAATCTAAAAGTCGAGAGTGTGAATGATAATGCCATGGCTTTCAAACCAGTGAGGAGTGAATTTTGGAATGGCAGGACACTGGTCTACAGCGAGGAGGTATCTCTAGGCATAAGTTGCAGCCCATTGCTGACCTGGAAGCGAGTTTCATCTGATATACCATACTGCTCCAAAGGGTCCTGCGGAGAAAGCAGATGATGGCTGTTATAGAAACAAATCTTTGAAACTTGTGTTTCCATCAAAATACAGTGTAAAGACTTTAACAGACTGTTTGATGAACAGTTTTGATTGAGGACTTTTTTGACCACAGCCATCTATTAATGAAGAAATGTTTACACTGAGGTCTGTGGATCATCCTAACTTACCAGGTTAGAAAAGATATGTTTCTTATAAGTTTTTCTAAAGTTCTCTATTAATTCTTTGAGTGAGACAGTTGAAAATTCATCTGTGTTTCCATTATATTGACGTTGTGTCCTAATTCCCAGCAGCAAAACCTTAACCTTATCCAAACCACTGAAACTTCCTATATTGCCTGCTAATCTATCTTCTGCTTAAACTGATGATACAGTACCAGTGTATTTCACACTGTAAGCATTCCTATGGTATGACAGTGCTGGATAGAAGCACCATCTGTGTGGCATGTAGTGCATCGTTATGCTGCTGTGAAGGGTCTCACCTTGCCAGTGAGCCTGTGGATTTCAGTTCGATAGAATATCAGGTTCTTCCTCATGAACTCATAACTGCAAGAGATGAGATAACAAGTTAATTTGACATCTGATCAGGAAAAAAAAGTCTCCAAGTAAATGTAGTAAAGATTAAAGCTTTAATTGTCAAATAGTGTCTAAATACAGTATAACTTGGCAAATATGGAAAATAAATGCAAAAGTTGCTGAACCGTGCCTGCCAGATTAGCCCAGCTCATAAAGGGAGCATCATCGTAGTGGTGAACACAAATAAAAGGCTGGATCTCTAAGAACCCCTCATATTATCCCGTTTGGGAGCATTATTGTTTTCCCAGTAAGCTTTAACACAGGACAAGGCCGAGCAGTGATGCTCTACACAAGTCACATTGTTAACATTACATCTCTGGAAACAGCTGCATCATTCATTTGTAACTGTTTCTCTCGTGATTCTGCCCATAGTGCTCAAATAGCATCATGCCATGTCTTGCTTTAACATTCACTCATATGAATAGTAGTGTAATTATGTTGGAACAATACAGACGTACTTCCTTTGGTCTTCTTTCAGACTTAACGGCCATATGCAACATGTATGGATACATTTATTTAGACTGCCAATTATTTTCTCAATTAATCGATTGTTGTTGTTATTAAGCCTATAAATCTTTAATGTACCTGTTTTGTCTGACAGACTGTCCAAAAAACCTAAAGATATTCAACCTACTGTCATATACTTTATGACAAAGCAAATCCTTGAATGTCTGGCATTTTCATGGCAGTTGACGGAGAAAAAGAATCAGTGCTACCTGGCTTTGATAATGGAGTCCATCCATTCCCCACACTGTTCTTCAGAGTCACACTCGAACAAATACTTCCTCTCTGCTTCATCCAGGAATGCTACAAACAGATAAAACAAGAGTTAAATGGAAATCCATAACCACACATACACAGAAACTGTGATATAAAGCCATAAGTACTGGACTTTGATACATTTCTCTGTAGCTGCTCAGCGGCATATCAACAATGCAGTTGGTATAATTATCAGCACAAACATGTAAGGGTGAGAAATTGTGGGTTAGCTGATGTGAAATGGGGATGTAGCTTTGAGGATACTGTAACTCACCAATAGAGAAGCTCTGGCTGTCCTCCCTCTCCACCCGGCACTGCTCCAGCAGCAGCGCTCCAATTGGCTGACAATTAAATATTGACTTTACATTGATGCAACAATTTCATTTCCATTATAGGTGAGGTGTTCAAATATTGATTCAACTCACCTCTTCCTCATCGGTCCGGAAATAAAAGAGGAAGTTAACGACGAGTTTCACCAGCCTCCTCTTAACAACTGTGAAGTGAAAACAAAAGTGAAGTGAGATGAAGCGTCAGCCTGGAGATGAATAACCCAAACATTGTCTGGTCCTATCACAAACTGATGTCCACATTCACATTACATGAAGCTGACCACATTACATTACATGAAAGGGAAGTATGTGAGATAACAGCTGAATCAATGTAATACTCCCGAGTTACCGTCTCCTTTCTTGGGTCCTCGCATCCCGAGTTCAGCTGCCATCTCTGAAGGCTGGCGGCTCAGAGAAACCAGCTCCTTCTCGTTAAAACGCATCACGGCCGCTGACGCAGATACACACCGGCTGAAGACAGACAGCTACAGAAAACACTGTGGCTACAGTCCACCCATTTCCCCGTCCGAGAACATTACAACGGAGCTTGCTAACAACAGGACGAAGCAGTAATTTAATTCTCACAACCGTGAAGTTCAGGTCGTTAGTTCGTTATCTGATGTGTCCCAGATGTGACGGAGTGAGTTTTGTCATTTCTGCAGTCAAGCAAGTACAGTGGTGTAGGACCTGTCCTTCATGTTAAACGCTAGACATATACTAGACACTCCTCACTGGTATCACTACGGCAGATGGTGAGGGCCAAACTAGACGAACAGCGCGTTTACACATTTACACGCTCTCTTAAAACTTAGATATCGTGTATACACATTTGTATAATTCAAAGAACAAATAAACGCACCAACAAACGAAGCCAGAGATAATACACTAACCATAACCCCAATAATACAATTGTGTAACAATGGACAAGAATATTACAAAAAATATTAAACTAGTACATATTATTGCATATTATTATTATTATTGTTGTTGTTGTTGTTGTTGTTGTTGTTCTTGTTGTTGTTGTTATGATTATGACCTGCTGGACGCCTGCAATTCCCCTAGGGAATGAATAAATGAAAGCATGTATCTATCAATATATCTATCTAAAATTGTGAATAATGTGTAAATGTGTGTAATTGTGTTTTAAAAGTTTTTTTTTTAATCCCTGATACCTCGGGCTTATCGGGCATAGGCCTCCTCAAAGACACATTTTAATAATCAAAAATTTTGTAAATTCAGGCTAAATTTGAAGATTTTCTTCCATGTAAGAGCAGATATCATGAGATTATTTCAGTAGGAAATTGCAAATGAAACAGAGACCAGCCATACTTTCATGATGTAGGTACCAGTCAGTTGTAGTGACAACTGTTTTATTGATCCATGGAAATCAAAAAACATCTTCATTTTGCCAGGAAAGCGAGCCCGGCCCTCGCCCCAGCCCAGGAGGAGGCGGTAATACACCTAAAGCTGCCAAGCCCGAAAACCGAAGAAGAAGAGGAAATCATTCGGGCATGCGTAGTAAAAGTCTACGTTGGCGTGATCCAAACGTTGTGTTGGTGAGTGTTTTGGACAAAGAAAACTGTTTATAAGGTCTTCTCGTGTATACTTATCATTTTTGTCGTACAACTAACTGATTCATTATCACATAGTTGGAACTAGCTACGGTTTACGCGTAGTTTAATCATTCGTATTTGTTAAAAGCCATTCATTCCTACGTGGTGCCACCATTAGCTTAGCATTAGCAGCTAACTGGAGTTTGAAGAGATTCATTCAATGAGATGTTTTTGTGTTGCAGAATGACAAAACTAATATATTTGTTGTGGTAAATGATCCCATTTAATTCAGAAATATGTATTCAAACAACTTTGCTGTTATCTTTTTGCTTTACTTCCCAGTAGTTAGACCAATCTCATGCAAGCTAACATAGCGTAAAGAATATGCACTGTTATTTCCTTTTATCAGCTCCTCAAGTGCACTTAAAAATGTACTAACATTCAACTCATAGTGTGTTTTATGAACATTAAAGTACATTATATAAAGTTTACAGCTAATATGGAGTTGGTAACTTGGTGAAACTCTTAAACAATCCAGGCATACATCAAAGTACTTCCTTGGCAGCAATGTGTGTTCTATGTTTCCCCAGTTAATCAGGAAGGACCTACTCAGAGTACTGGTCCAGTTTTGACTGGACACTCAGGTGTGGGTGTGTCTGCGTGTTTGAGTCCATCACCTTGCAAAGATGGATTTCCAGCATCGAGCTGGAGGGAAGACGGGGAGCGGTGGAGTGGCGTCTGCCTCTGAGAGTAACCGTGACAGACGGGAGCGGTTACGTCAGCTGGCCCTGGAGACCATTGACATCAACAAAGATCCATATTTTATGAAGAATCATTTAGGATCATATGAGTGCAAGCTTTGTCTGACACTTCATAACAATGAGGTGAGCAGGCCAAATGAAATGTTCCTAGATTATCTGAATTTGAGGTCATTTCTTTTTACTCAAGTATCTTATCATTTACAAACTGCTCTCTTCTGCATTACAGGGTAGCTACTTAGCTCACACACAAGGAAAGAAACATCAGACCAACTTGTAAGTCCACATTTTGTTTTACCTTCTCATGTCACACATGGAAATGTAGAGGCTGTTGCTTTGTCACTTAGGTTTTGGTTCAGCTTTACTGAACCTTTATGTGTTCAACACACAGCTGTGTGCCGAGATCAGAGTTATTGCTCTGCAACAACTAAATGTGCCTTTACACATAACTGTAGCAGTTCAGTTCACGTTAAGTTTTTGATGTTTATGTTGTTTACAGTGACACCTCACTCACCTATGACTGAGAAACCTATCAAACTTGATGTGTCTAGTGTGTTGATAAACAGTGAAAAAAAAACTTTATGCATTGTTTGTTTCAGAGCACGAAGAGCTGCCAAAGAGGCCAAAGAAGCTCCTGCTCAGCCAGCTCCAGCGAAAGTCAAAGTTGAGGTCAAGAAGTTTGTCAAAATTGGTCGACCAGGATACAAAGGTACGCTGGCCTTATGGTTATGTGTCAGTGCAGTCATTATTTAGTTTCGCTGCAACTTGATTGTATTTTAACACATGGTCCTTGTCCCTCTCTTCTTTATAGTAACCAAACAGAGAGACCCTGAGACGGGACAGCAGTCTTTACTATTCCAGGTTGGTGTGTTTGGTGGGAATCTCCATGTAAAAAGTCTGTTAGTTTGAATGGATTTGTGGTGTTTTGAGAACATTCAGAGAACAGAACACATTAACATCCTATGCAGTCTGTGTCAAACTAAAGCTAAATGCCACACTTATATTTGGGGTATATACTGGTGTATATATACTGCTTTCCTGTGAAGAAAACATCATTAGACTGAAATTGTGTCACTGAATTCTAGGCATGGCCTCATGCTCCAAACTGTAATATTGCTGACTGCAGCACTAATGTCCGAATATTTTTTTGCTAAACACTGAGATATGACTCTCAAAAGGCAAATCTGTAAACAAGCTGTTTTCTTTTTTCTGTCCATCAGATCGATTACCCAGAGATCGCTGAAGGAATTGGACCAAGGCATCGTTTCATGTCTGCTTACGAACAGCGAATTGAGCCCCCTGATCGTCGCTGGCAGTACCTGCTGCTTGCTGCTGAGCCATATGAGACTATTGCCTTCAAGGTGAGTGGAAGCTGCACCTCTGTTTCTCTGCTTTTATAATATTTCTTCTTCTTGTTGTGACATTAACTTTTTTGCTCTATTAGGTCCCCAGTAGAGAAATTGATAAAGCAGAAAACCGCTTCTGGACCCACTGGAACAGAGAAACTAAACAGGTACTGATAAGCTGATGAACATTTACTACCACAAATCCAACCTAAGTATTTTATTTTGAAAAGAGGAGGTATGTGATTTAACCCATCTTTCATGTTGTGTTTTTCCTCCCAGTTCTTCCTGCAGTTTCACTTCAAAATGGAGAAAGCTATTACTCAGTCCAGTGGTCCAGCACCTCCTGCAGGGGTGAAGCGCCCCCCTCCTCTCATGAGTGGAGTTGGACCTCGGTCACTAAATGATAGTATGCCTCCTCCCCCGCCAGGAGGGATGCCCGTCCCCCCTCTTCCACCTGGTGCCCCAGGTGCCCCCCAGATGCCCATGCCCCCCATGCCGATGAGGCCACCACCACCTGACGGCCTTACAATGTCTAATAATTGATCATCTATCAGTGGATTAGGATCTCTATCTTTCATGGGCTGCAGTCACACTGCCCTGCCTGTCGACAGTGTCTGTCTTGCTTTCGATATGGCAGGTACATTCAGTTTTATTATTTCCTCAGATGATGTTTAAAATCCATTTGTTTGGTTTATGTAAATGTGCAGGACAGTCTGTTATTCTCACAGTGTAATAGTGACCACACTGTTTTGTATAAATGCTTAGGCTCAAAAATCTTTTAAGAGTCTGTTTTTGTAATTAAATGGCGTGGAGAGAAAAAAAAACATTTGCATCTTGAAGTCTGTGCTTTTACGAAGACATCACACACAGAACGATTTATGGATGAATCAAGTGATCGTGTGAGTGGGTCATAGCAGAAGAAACACATTTTGTAAAAAGAAGAGCAACACTACAGAAGTTCCTGAAATATTTATGCTCAGAATTACTTGTGATCATATAGGCATGAATAAACCAAAGACCCTTTAACTGGGCTCTTGGAAGCAGCTCAGATAACACAAGTGGGGGTCAAAAATGACATTGGTCAAAATTTTGATTAGAAACAAAAGCTTGATCCTTGTTGCCCATAGTCTTTCCCTTCTGTGTGAATTGGAGAGTTCAGGCTTCATCAGTAGCCGACTACAGAGGTCTCAAGTCTTAACACCAAAAAAAAAAAAAATCAAGTAATGACATGAACATTTCAAATGAAGCAGCATTATCAAGTCCATGAAACTGCAAACAACTTCACTGGTAAATCAAAGCTCTTTCACACAAAGTCATCAATCAAGCAAAACAACAAAAAAGCTGTAACACAAGTTCAGCGATTTAACTGAAGGCAGAGATCATTTTTGTCAGTGGTAGTATTTGACAAAAAAGTTTTTACCTCCTTTAATAAATATTAAATCAATGTAGGTGAATTAGAAAATGAATTTGTGTCTGACAAAGAATCAACTCATCCCTTTTGAGATTTTTTCTCTTTCTTTTCCTCCAACTTTCTACTCTTCTTGGGCGCTGTCTCCCCATCGTCTTCATCTTCCTCACTCACTGCTTCTTCAACATCCTTCTTTTTATCTCTGTCTTTCTTGTCTTTGGTTTCTTCATCCCTGGTTTTCTGGGCTCTCCTGTCCTTTAATTTCCCATCTCTTTGCTTCATGAGTTTTTTGTCTGGCAGCGGCTTGTTTCTGAGACCTCTTGATGTTCGTGCCATTGCTCCTTTCTTTGACATCCCTCTTCTGACTTCTCCATCGTCCTCCTCATCCTCCTCATCCTCTTCGTCATCAAAGTCTGGCAGCCACCAAAACATGACTTCCCACAGAGATGTCTCAGGCTAGAGGGGGGAGAACACATGAAATGGGTGAAAGAATTTACACTGTAAATGTTCAGGTGTTTATCTCTCCAGATTGAATAACAAAGCAATTAACAGTAATTTACCTCAGGTGGTTGCCCTCTGTGTCGTAATGTGCCTGACCGCCTCACCGTCAGTCCAACTTCTTCCTCCTCTACTGTCCCCTGACCACGCAAAGTTTCTGTTTTTAAAAGAAACCACTCAGTTACATCAGGCATGCAGATTTTGTATCGCACATTTTACTTTTTCTTGCTAGTCTACTTGCCATGAAGCCTCTGAAAGCCTGAGGTCAGCACCAGGATGGTAATGGCCACAAACAGACATCGGTTCAGAGTGACATTCTCCCACGGTGTTTCAATCTGCGTCAGGTTTTGGATGGACAAGGCTTTATGCAAGGATGCTGAGGGAGGATGAAAAGGAGAAGAAGTGTAAGAATGTATGAAAAAGTTACAGGAAAAACTTGGAAAATATACTTATTTGCTTCCTTGCTGAGAGTTTGATGAGAAGATCTTCACCCCTGTCATGTCTGCATGCTCAATGTGAAGCTACAGCCAGCAGCCGGTCAAACAAACACAAGATCTAATCTAATTAACAAATAATTTGTTTATTTAGTTCTTACAAAAACCAAAGTGTAAAGGCAATATCATTGTACGGATCAAACATAGGAGATTTTATTTATGGGGATTTAAGATGCTGGTAGTTACATTTGTCCCCTGTGGACAGAGTGAAGCTTACTGTTTCTCCCTGTTTTTTTGTGCCAAGTTAAACTAACCATTTGCTGGCTCCTGCTTACCATTCTGACTTAAAAGTGGTCTCAACAAGAAAGTGAATCAAAATAATTCCCAAAGTATTGAACCGTTTCCTTTAGAAGCTGACAAGGGCTGCAGAGAAGGATGGGAGTGACTCACTTGTCCTGGGAAAGCTGGGTTCTCTGGGTAAAGTCTTGAGTTCTGCTCTTGGCTGCTTTGATACTGGAGCCATTTCCTATTGGAGAACAACATGTAGCTTTGAGGAAAAGAGATATTACAGATATTCACACAAATTTGTTCATGTTGGTCCAACTAACCTCTCTAATTTTTCTTGGAGCGTACATTTCTGAAACAGACAGATGGAGATTTACTGATCATAAACCATAAACAAACAAAAGCCCAAACGGCCAGTCCCTCAATCTGGGGTTTATTTGTCCACATATGTATACATTCATTTGGCTGAACATATGTTTCATTTTATTAACCTAATTTACACAAAACACAAGTCCACTTGCCAAAGTTTAAGCTATGCTACAGATACACCACTAGCAGCTCTGTGAGGCTGTACTCAGCAAAGTGGTGCTTAGGGGTAAATACTAGCCTAATATAAGCATGCTAACAGTGACAATGCTAACATGCAGATGTTTAGCAGGTATAATGTTCACTATGTTCTTTATCTTAGTTTAACATGTTACCATGCTAGCATTTGCTAATTAGCACTTAACACAAAGTACAGCTGAGGAAAGTACTGGACAAATTAAAATGACCTATTGGTTGTACTAGATGAAAAGTCAGGGGATGACCAGAGTCATCCTCTTAGGACCATAAAAGACTGTACCAAGTTATTTCAGTCTGGACAGGTCTTATTAGACTTTTAAGAGTGTTGTCTCACAAGAAAGAGTTTGTGTGTATTTAGTTGGACTGTGGCTTACACCCCACTGACTGGTGAAATGATCTGAACACCAACCATCCATCCAACACAGCTGAGCTGCATTATCACTGTGTTGCTTTTGACCAGGAGTCATATTTCAGTGGTTCCCCAAGCTGCTGTTCCCAAGTATTTATAGAGTTGTACAATAAATGCACAATGGATAATGGCTTTTATATGCAGGCATTACAAATTCTGTGTGTGTGTATGTGTTTGTTTGTGTGTTTGTGTATGTGTTTGTTTGTGTGTGTGTGTGTGTGTGTGTGTGTGTGTGTGTGTGTGTGTGTGTGTGTGTGTGTGTGTGTGTGTGTGTGTGTGTTGCCACCTGGTCTGTGGATCTGTCGAACAGGTTTCTGTGGAGGAGGATCTGCTCTTGGTGGCCCTAACTCCTCTTCAAATGTCTCATAGCTTTCTTCCATCCCTTCCCTGAGAGAGAGAGAGAAAGAGAGAGGAAGATGGAAGTAGCTCAAAACTTGTTTGTTTTTAAAATGATTTAGGATATTTAGACATGTACATATCACACAAATCTGGAGTCAGAGGCCGGTTAAGCTTATGGATTATTGGTATTTTTTAGAAATGCTTGTCTTGCCAGCTGTTACCTTCCAAAAACAAGACGATTCAATAATGTTAATACTATTGTGCAGTACTTTTCACTTGGTTGAAAAAAAGTTATTAGCATTGCCTCGTCAGTGTCCCATTTTTGCTGTGCAAAACAATACAAGTAAAAGGTCAACTTTTCCCGTTTATGAATAAAACTGAAGCAACTTCTTGACCTTCACATTTACAGATGAATGCTGTGAGGCCCTTATGTCTTACATGACATTTCTAAACGGACGCTGAGCTAATGTCCTAGCCACTATAAATAGATGAAGCAATGCCACTGAAGAGACAGGTGGATACACGCTGCATATAAATAATACACAAAAAGAAAAATGCCTGATGTTACTATTATACCGCTGTCTAGCTTCTACTGTGATGAAGCATAACCTTTGACCCTGATTGAAATAAAGACCTACCTGCCTCCACATTTGGGGTCCCCTGGGCAGCGTCGGGGAACCTTTGTCACAGAGGCCCGTTGTTCCTTTGCAGAGATGGCAGCAGAGTCATGCTCTAAACTGTCTGACAGCCAAGCACAGGTGCTGGAGAATGAAAAAACAAAAAGCATTGAGTGTCATTCAGAGGCGTTGACTGAGGCAGGGTTGACATTACCACGTGCCATACAGCTGTCACAGTGCCGAGAGGAGGAGAAGGCCACAGGTGGTGGTAAATTGTAAGCCATGTTGGAATTTATTAAAATTTCATCTTATTCTCTATCAAAGGAGTTACAATTCACCAATCCCACATATTTTCGATGAACTAGGGCAATACCTCTATAAACAAAAACTGCAAAATGGTTTTGGTTTTTCACATTTAAAAACATTTACAAAAAATGCCACAAATGTAATGTGAAGATTTTATTTGAGATGCTATGGATTCTCCTTTGCCTGAAAATCTGTTTCATGATTTACCAGCAGAGAGCGCCACTGTACTTTGGAGATGGCGTTTATATCACCTCTGCTCTATAGATGAAGACTGTAGTTTGTCAGACAGACTGGTCATCATGCAGATTCACAGAAGAGCTGGCCATCAGCAGCACCCTTTGTATCAAGCACTTAAGACACATATGGCCACTTTGTCAATAATTTCTTTTTAACAGACAATATTCAGATAACAGATAATAGTCTTCCATCAACCTATATTGTTCATTGAAGGAGTCAAGTATGTATCCTGCTGCTGTGTTTGTCTATTGTGAAGCTTTGAGGCAAAATCCCCACTTTACACGACATAATGGCCACTAACAAGGAGCTGCATAAACAGAAAAAGTAGAGATGATTGGGTTACGTCAGGGCGAGGTGGTTGCAGGCCACCTTTAGTGTTGGTAAACAGACTAGTGGCAATGTTGACTCATACCTTTGCTGGGACTTTTCCAGCTGAATCACACATCGCTGTTCCCATCAGTAATCACACTGAATTGGACATAAGGTCTGTAACCTTTGCCATGGGTATGATGAGCAAGATAAAGTCAGGGTGTCAAATGGTACACAGAGCTGCATCATGTGGTGCATCTTATATTCATATGACATATGATGGCACAATTCGTGTTTTATTCATGAATTTTTTTTGACTGTCCTTATATACAGTCCAACCATCAATCATATGACTTATAAATTACCATAGATACTGAGAACACAAGACATTACCATCATCTCA